AGGTGAATCACTTAAATCCACTTAACACGTGATTATTGGCCTTGTGTGCCTGAAAATGATTGTGCTAGTTGGATGTAATCTTGTGATCACTCATCCTACTAGTCATGTCCCTTTCATAGTACAATATTGGAATTTTCACGGGCAAATTGCAATTTAACTAAGAATATTAGTGGAAGTGATGTGGCTTTCCCGGTACAACGCCTGAGAAAGAGGTGTTTACATTTTGGAGGTCCGCGAAAGATAATCTTGCATTGCCATTGTTGATTGATTTGTGTGAAGAGACTAGTTTTGAACCGTTGCCCTACTTTATGCGACTACCAAGTGATGTTAAGTTGAAAATCTTGGTGATCCAACTCTGGTGTTCACATAACTAAAGCGACTTGTGAGTGCTTGGAACTATAGTATTTGGCATCAAGTGACGGCTTGTGGTATTTACTGGGCCCCGTGGCATTGGGCCTTTCTTGGAGAGGATCGTGGGCGAACGTTTTCAACGAATTGTAACATGAGAAGAGCTAATCGAATGAATTTCGTTATAGTGATGAAAATCCAATTAACCAATTTGTCATCTTGGTTGCTAATGTTGACTAATGTGTGAATTTTTGATATTCTATTGAATTACAGTGCCAACAATAATAACACTAAGTTGTCCAATAACATTTTGGTAATTGCCAAAAGCTGCTAAGGCTGAGGACCTAATAGACCCTCGGTAAATTACTCAACTTGGCATTTGTTGGAGTGAGTTGGGAGCCCATAGTAGAAATCGTTTCCCTTGGTCGATCATCGTCCTAAATCCTCAACTTTGACAAGTACTTGTGAAATAGCCATTAGAAGTGAAGGCCGGACACTCCACCGTACAAGTGGGAGGCAAGAAGATGGATTCTACTTCGACTGAAGGATATATAGCAAAATTTTGTTTTTTATTTTTTGAAATTCGTGCTTCAATTCTAATTCTAAAGAATAAGAATAAGGATTATACTAGATGTACACACGATGGTTTACATAATAGATTACACCCCCTCTCATTAAGGGGGGCCCACAAATATTTTATTGTGTATGGGTCCCTCTCCATGTGAGGGGGGTGTAATCCATACCGTTGTTGACAACTTCTTGAGCGACAAACTAATCGTCGCGCAGTAACAACTAAGCATCATCGACTCAAATAATGGAGATAAAGGGAGAAATATAGTGACCATTGGAGAACGTCAACCGAGCATCACTGGCAAGTGATCATCTTCTTCAGCAACACTTAGCAATGTTAGTAAGATTTAAAACTGATCATTGAAAAATAGCCACTAGTGTAATTAACAGAGTATTTATCGGAGCAAATAATTTCAATTTTCATCGTCGAAATCTGGTTAATTGAATTTGTGACCAGTTCGGATAACTGAGGTCAAAGCAATCAA